TATATATAATATATAAAAACATAAAGTAATGCAAATTGTATAAAATTTTTTTTTTTGTAAAAATTAATTTATACAAAATTTATTATAACCTTTTGATATCACCTCCAACTCTGGCAAATAATATAAACAGGTAGAGAGCCCGAATATGTACACGCAGCTGACTTTCTCACACAACAGCCGCAAACTGCACTCCCCTGGATAAAATCAGAAAATCGCCTCCGAGTGTCAAATGTCTCTTCTTCTCCTTTCTCTCTCCCTCTGCCTCACTCATCTACACATTCTTCACTCTATCTTTTTCACACTCTATCATACATACATTTTTTTTTCTTCTTTCCCTTTCTCTCCTACCGCCTAGCAAGAGCTACCGAGCTACACGAGCTTACCATTTCAAACCGAGGCTCTCCTTCTCCTTCCTCTTTATATTCGTATCCAAAAAATTCTGTCCGACATGATCGGCTAGGTTGTTGCTGTTTGTAATGGTGCTCGCACTACTAAAAAATTAGGGTTGGACGGGCAGTCACTTACCTTGCTGTTCTTGATTTAACTCCGTGTTTCCAGCATGAGATGGTCCTGGCATCCCACCTTCTAATGATCCACCACCTCCTCCTCCACCTCCTCCTCCTCCTCCTGCTCCTCCACCTGAAAAAATATAAATGTTTAAAATTTATTTTTTATGTACTAAAATTATCTTAAATAAAATAAAAATAAAATTAATTTTATTTTTAAATAAATTTGTAAGTAAATTTAATGTAAATAATTGATTGAAATTGAATTAAAATGTTATTTAAAATTACCTTGATAAGAAGGTGGATAAGATGGCAAAACTTCCATGCCACCATCAAGGCTAAGAAAGCCACTTGGCAGTGTGTTGACTTCCTGCTTTGGAGAACAATCATCATCGCTTCCATATTCTGGTAATTCTATTTTTGGCTAAAATACAAAAATTTCTGTAATTATTTTATCAAGAAATAATTATTTTATGTTATAATTATTCTAAATTATTATTAATTATGATTATTCTATAATGATTAATAACATACATTATTTATTTATTTTAATAAAAATATAAAATTGTAAAAATAATTTTATTCTATTTTATTTTTTATTATTTTTTAATTAATTTTTATTGTATATATTTTCATAAATCAATAAGTATTTTTGTATTTTTTTTTTTTTTAATTAAATGTTTAAATGTATCTTCTTATCATTTGATAACATTTTGTTTTATGTTAGATTATCAATAAAATTCATGTATAATCACAATAAATTAAATATAAATATAAATACAGTAAGATCCAATATCTTTTAAAATATCTTTAAAAATTAAAATTTCTTTTGTAATGAATTTGTAATATGTAAAGTTACTAGACTATATTGCATTTTATTTCTTTATTATAAGCTCATATATATTAAATGATATATATAAAATTATGAAAGAAGTCAAACCAACCTCAACAATATCGAGATCTTTATAACAGTCAAGTTGAACCTGTGGCTCAATTAATGGCCGTGTGCGTGGTGTTCCAGATGCACAGGCCGCCGCAGCTGGTACTGGACTAGATATTTGAGGCGAATCACTTCGTTTGCACAGCCTTTTTAGTGGTGGAGGACTTGAAGTTGGTGGAGTTTTACTACGCTCCTCCTCTAAATTTGGTGAGATCAACCCACGACCATTTGATGCATGTATATTATTTGTCTTCAAATGCTAAAAAAAAACAATTGAAATTATCCTAATATATTTTTAAAAAATTTTTAAAGAATCTTTTTCTTAAGATAACACTCTATTAATTAATTATTATTATTAATTTAAATTACCACAGAAAACAAAATAAATAATATATATAATGTTTCAATATAAATTTAAATTAAATATTGAAATTAAATGAAAATTAATTATTATTCATAATACATTTTAAAACAAACCTTTTCGTTGTTGTGCTGATTATTTTGAGAGTCAGTGAGGCCACGGATTTGCAGAGACTCAGCAGTTCTTAAAAATGTAGGTAATTCTGCTTGAGATATGTTAACCTCTCCAGCATACATAAATTCCAAAAGTGACTGCAGATGTTCAAATTCCACATCACGCATAAATATTATCGGATGCTTGCATGGATTTGTCTATAAATATAATTAGTACAAACAATATTTATTTGTTTAACAAACAAAAAGTATAAAATATTTTGTATCTAATTTATATTATATTTACAATAAATTTTAATATTAAAATTATAATTTAATTAAATAATTAATTGTTTTTTAAATTTTAATTTTAATTTTTTGAGACTATCATATATGAGTTCATTACATAAATATATTATATATGTTCATTCTTAATTAATTTTTTTAAAGTTCATATTAATTTATTTAGATTATAGTATAAAATCAAAAAAATTTTAATTAATATATATAATCTTATTAATATATATATTTTTATAGATATTATAACATAGTGTTATATTCCTATTTAATACTATTTTATTTATTATTTAATACTAAAATTAACAACATTTAATAAAATAATTTTTTCAAGAAATTTTAAAGTTATATTGATATTATATTTTAAGTTAATTCATTTTGACTTATCTCTCATAAATTATATCATTTTGTTTTCAATATGTTAAGATATTATACAAATATAAAAATGAATTATGTATTTAAATATTTTACATAAATATAAAACAAAGTTATATATTTGAAAACAAAAATAATATATAATTAATGTCTAAGAGAATGAAAACTAAAGAATTTATTGTATACAAAATTACGTAACTAAATTAAATTATTACTGAATTATAAAAGAAAATATAAATTATGAAATAAAATATAACTTTTTTCTTTTAAATTAATGTAAAATTATTGTATAATTTTAAAACTATAAGTAAATGACATATTTATGATTTTTTTAATGGTTGTTAATAATAATAAACCTTTTTTATAAATATAAATGCATGAATGCATTATTATAATATGAAAAGTATTATATACTATTACCAATAAAGTGGATTTGTAATTATTTTTTATTTTAATTGTTTATTATATATATATATATATAAATATACATTAGATGTGGATAATATATTTGAAATTTATATAGAATCCTATAAAATAAATTATGATTAATTACTAAAAAATAACATCCAACAAAAAGTAATATCCCATGCAAACTATATATGAATATATATAGGTACATTACGACATACTAGTAGGTACAGCAGATGAATGCATGGGAATTATGAATAAGAATTTTTATTTCGACCATGTCCAAAGTAAAGCATGAGTCTCAAAGAAGGTAAGAATGATCGGTTGAGGGGAAGGGAGGGGGGAACATCGAACAACTAGCACCGAGAGAAGCAAGGCGGGGAAGGTTTTCTAACCTTGAACAACTCCTTGAAGTAAGGGCTGCACGCGGAGAGGACAACCTTGTGCGCCTGGAGACGCCTACCATCGCAGGCTAAGGTGACATCAACGAAGTCCTCGTCATCCCTGAGGGCCTCGAATTGGCTGGTGATATTAGCTTGAAAGTTGTTCCAACGCAAGCAAAACTGCTGCTGGCTATCCGTCATTCTCCTCGCTCGACTCCCTTCGACCTCCTCTCTCTCCCTCTCTCTTAAACCGAGAGCCCCCCACCACCCACCCTCTGTCCGTCTCTCTCTTACTTTCACCTTCTTCTACTTCTATCTTTTTTCCTCTTTTTCTTTCTTACTGATGGCTGCGTTGTTCTTTCTTCGTTGCACACTTTGACTTCTCAAGTGTATCTTTCTTTGTCTTTTTTTCTTGCAGGAGACACTTTAGAAATTTTCGAAAGATATTGAATATGAAAGATTCATTGAGACGAAGAGGGTGAGGGTGGTTTCGCAGGTCAGGCCTGTTTTACTGCACCCTCGTGCTACTGATTTGAGATGAGGCTCTCATTACTCTGGAAAAAAATGGCAGGTGCAAAAAGTGCAATCGATGACTGAAGAGGAGGTGTGTACGTGGGGAGAATCGATAGACGGCTTACCAACATTAAGAGATAAATGAAGTATATATTTGATGTATAGTAATTTTTATATATATATATATATATATATGTGTGTATATATATATATATATATGTATATATAATATTTTTATATTATATTTATTTTAATTTTCTTCAACATATAAAAATTATTATTATATTTAATTATATTTTAATTAATACGTTTTTCTTAAAAAAAATTTAATGATATCAAGTTACTAGAAATATACCTAGATATTTCTATAATCTTTTCATTTTTTCCTTCTTTTTTATTAAAACAATATCATATATTTTTAAAATATAAATTAAAGAATATATGATTAAAAGAAATCTATATTAATGTCTAATACTAATACGAATACAAATACGATTAGTATTAATCATTATTAAATATTAAAAAATTAACAAAAAGTATATAACATATTTCATAAAAATTTCAATTAAAAATGCAAAATATTAAATTGGTATCTAGTAATTTTTATTAAATTTAAAACAAATCATTTTTTAAGATAATTTATCGATACTAATTTATCATGTAAATCATAATATTATACAAATATATATAAATGTATATTTAACAAATTGACAATTAAACGCATTGAAAAATATTATAAAAATAACAGATAAATTAAATCTTTTATTTTTTATTTCATTATTTTTTCAGTATGTTATTTTTAATACATTTTTAACATTTTAATTATTAAAAATTTTACAAGAAAGAAATTAAAATATTTAAAAATAAAATTTTACATACATATATTCTTATATATATATATATATATATGAACTTTTCATTAAATTTCAAATTTGTAAAATATAATATTTTTAATCCCTTGCTTATGTGATTAAAACACAGGAAAAAAATAAAATTATTAATATCGAATAAATATTATAAATCAATAATATTTCATTTCATCATTCTTTTAATATATTATTTTTGATTATGTATTGTTAATAAAATGTTTTAACTTTAAGATTAAATAAATAAATATACAATATATTTTATATATTATTATAATTATATATATATAAGACATGAATATTTATTGTATTTAAAATTAAATTGTAATAGATAAAATTAATAAATAAATGTATTCGTAAACTTGTAGTCATATAATAATATTCTAATATAAATCCCTTATAATATAAAATATATTATTATCTAATATCTTTAAAATTTATACATATTGCGAAGAGCGGAAATTTTGAATTTCTAATTATAACCAAAAGAGAAAAAAAAGAAATATTTCCGTGATTACAGAAAATTTCTCGAACTCCCGTCGTATTCCAGATTAAACCAAATTTTATCACCCGTTATATGATCGTCTTCGTAGCTTCGAACTGTTTCGGGCCGTCATGGACGCCCGAATTTTATTCGCAAAATAATTTTTTTTCAAATTTTTTTCTCACTTTATTGAGATAAATGTAATAGATTTTACAAAAATATGATAATTCCAAAAAATTGACAACTATGTGACACAAGTAAAAACATGTCAGAAAGACAGGTAAGTCAAATTCTTCAATTTTTTTAAATTATAATTTCTTGTTCTTTTAGTATATCATTCTCAGTTTTTAATATCTCATCAATAAAATTTAATAGAGGAATGAATTAATATATTCAAAAATAAAATTCAATGCAAAAATTGTGATCATTGTTTTTAACCTCGTTTTGAAAGGTTACTGCGGACGACTCAATCGATACATTGTCCTCGAATTTCGTTTTTCTGACTAACAACAAGTATAACAAATTACTTGTCAATGATTTGGAAATTTTATTACGATTGTGAGTGTTTTTTATAATAGTGAAAATTTCTTTTGTTTTAATATATAGTATATAATGATCGAGAAATGATTGTAACCTTCTTTGGGTTAACCTTTCAAATGAGTTTCTTTTATATTTTGTTTAATGCAGATGAAATTTTATTTATACTTTTTATTCACATATCTTTTAAATTTTAATTTTATAAGAGCTAAATGAAATTATTTTAGAATGTCCTTGTATATCTTTGAATGTGAAATAATTACATCCTATTTAAACCCTATTTGTTAGAGGTTTCAATATAATATAAAATATAAAAGTTAAAAGAATTATTTTATTTTTTTTTATTAAGATATGAAATATTTTAAAAATAAAATATAAATAAATTATTTGTCTTAAAAATATATTTAAAATACATAAATATTAATTATATTAATTTTATTTACTATATAATAAATTTATATTAAATATTAACACAATTATATTGTATACAATATAATTAATACAAATATTATTTTTATAATAAAAAATTATGATGTAAAAAATCAAAATATATTTATAAAATTTTATATTAATTTTATATAATTTTAATTTCTTTTTTTAAATCCAAAAATAATATTTCTATTGAATTTTTTATCAAAAAACTAAATTTTTATGATTAATATCAATTGAAGTTATTTAGATTTTTTGATATATTGGTTAAAATTACCAATATTGAAATATATTTATATTTCAGTTAATCCTTTATTATATTTAAGTAAATTTAATTTCATATAAATTTAAATTATAACTTTATTATAATTATATTATAATAAGATAAGATATTAATTTTATGAATATATTTTATATTTAGTAATATGTTTTTTTTAAATGTTCCATTTTGTTCTGTCATTTTAAAATATTATAAATCTGATAATAAATGAATTAAAAAAATTATTAATTTATATTTCTTTATATTATGTTCTAATAAAAAAACATTAAAATAAATTTGTTTGTTAAAATACAACATAATTGTATTTTTTTATATATTTTCAGAATTTATTCAGTGTATTCTTTTGGTGATCATTTGTGGTTTCCTCACTGGAAACCAAAAATTTTATACTACGTCACGGTGAGTTTCTAAATAACTTCTAAATTGATTATATAATTGTCAACCGTTAAATTAACTGTTTAACTAATTGGCTATTTTTAAATAATTTGTTTTCTTAAAATTTAATTTTATATATATAATGCATGATATTTTAATAAAATAATGATATATTTCATTAAAATAATTTTTTTTAATTATCATTATAAAAATATTTAATGACTACATTATTACAACATTTTATATATACGATAATTCTTTATCAAAAATTTTAGTACTTATGTAATGTGCTTTATATATATGCAATTTTATATGAATAATTATTAATCAAAATAATATATTACAATATACAAAATTATAATTATTTAATATAATATTCTTATATAAAAAATGTTTTATATATAATTAAAGATATTTCAGAACATGTCTTACCTTTTAATGAATTAAAATATATAAATTATAACTCTTTATGAATATAATACACAAATTGTAGTTTTTAAGTAGTTCACTGTAGTATTGGTTACCAATAGATTAACCTAACTGTTACACCATATCAGACAACAGTTATTGTAATCTGGATAGACATAATTATCTTAAAATTAGAATTGTACAGTCTCTGAAAAAAAATCAGCGCATTAAAAACCATTTTTTTATGTATATTTTTTTGTATAATGAATTATGTAAATTTTTATAACTTATTTATAATATTCTAAATACTTTTTCATTCATTATTTTTAAAATAATATTTTATAATATTTATAATATATTAATTCATTCTTTGAATTTTGTATTGACAGTACATTTCTTTTTCTTTTTTTCTTTTCTTT